AGGGCTCTGGCACCCTCACACCAAACAAGTTCTTCCTCACATGCAGAKGGARCTGCCTGGGTTTCAACTTGCACCCCTTGCCCCTTGTCCTCTCACTGGCCACCACTGAGAAGAGCTTGGCCCCATCCTCCCTACATGCCCCCTTCATGTTCTTATACATATTGATCAGATCCCCTCTCAGCCTTCTCTTCTCCAGAAAAAACAGGCCCAGCTCAGTCTCTCCTTGTGTGAGAAATGCTCCAGTCCCTTCATCATCTCTGTCGCTCTCCRCTGGACCCTCTCTAGAAGCTCCACGTCCCTCTTGTCCTGGGGAGCCCAGAGCTGCCCCCAATRCTSCAGGTGCGGCCTCCCCAGAGCTGAGCAGAGGGGCAGGATCCCCTCCCTGCCCCAGCTGGCAACATCCTCCTSATGCAGCCAGGAGCCCATTGGCCTCCTTGGCCACGAGGGCACTGCTGCCTCATGGGTGACTTGTTGCCACCAGGACTYCCAGGTCCCTCTCTGTGGAGCTGCTCTCCGCAGAGCCCAAGGATGGAGCYATGAGCACCCCCGGTGCCAGCTCAACCACGGGGCAGCGCGAGGAGGGCAGCCCACGGCACGGCCTGGGGCCGCTGTTCTGCTGTTCACCAGCCTTGCCAGGCTGACGCTCTCCTTCTCTCAGCTATTCCTGCAGAAAACCCCACCTCAACACGTGTCTTATCAATAAAAACACCACTTTGGAAAGCAGCTCGTGTAGGTCACCTTTAATTTAATACTTCTCATTGATTTTACTGGTTGTGGGATCCGGATCCTAGGAGACAACATTCCGTCAGCTGCTGGAAACATCTGTAACTGCAGGAAACTCTGCTAACAGGTAAACCAATACCTTGCCACTGTGGAGCTGACAAGGCTCTGAATGCATAACTGAAACAAGAGATCGGTTGGGAATTCTAGTTCACTAGCTTCCTAGTTCACARCTGCGCTCTCACTGCTGCCAGTTCCTCCTCCTTGGTCTTCTCCCTTCAGGAAACCCAGCAGACATTCAGTGCAACCACGTTGCCTCCACTGCTCTCCTCACACAGCCSGTTTCCCTGTGTTTCACATGCTGCTACACGGCAGCATTTGCAAGAAAGCTCCAAATACTTTATCCAGCAGAGAACTGCTTTGCTGCTCCTCTGCAGAGGTCATGGTGAGCGACCGATGTTGGAAGATTATTCCCAAGCTGACTTTGAAAGGCTCGGTTTAAAGGTTGGCAGCATCTCCAGCGTCTCTCTGAGGTGCCTGGTGTTACGGAATTAGCTGCTGTAGATGTTTCCTAGCAGAGACCCCACACATCCAWGTCAGACACTCTTGGAATGTGAATGTCAGTAGCACTTAGCAAAATGCCATCTACAGAGCTGCAGATGCCAAGAAAACRCTCAAACTCTGCCATATCTATCTATTATCAACTCTGATTTCAAGTGCAGCTTTCAAAAGTATGAAAATTCATCTACAAAAATTTGCTTTGGACTTAAGTCAATTTGATTATGTATCAAAAGCCTGTCAGTTGTTCTCCCCAAAAGCTGAAGATGAAAAATTAATCTCAAGTGTGATGAAAGGTAGCTCTACTTACTTGATTTACAGCAGCATCCGAAAGCTCCAGAGTAACTTTTTTTTTTCTAGACATGCTACAAATACAGCRAGACAAAAATAACCTGAGCATCTTCTAGTTTAGTACTAAAATTTTACTTTAAAAATATTCAACAAAAAGAGGAGCTGGGAAAGAAGGATGAGGCTAACAGGGTCCCTGACCATTAACACTTGCTGGGAGCGCAACAGGAATTTCTAGAATTGCTSTTTATGGAAGTGCACTGCCCCATGCCTTCTATTTTCCAAGGAGGAAAGGGGCCGGCTTGAAGGAGCCCATGGCTCCCGTGGGAGGAGCAGTGGGTGCCCAGGCGGGCAGCAGTTTCCTGTCGGAATAGGAGGAGCAGCCTTTGGGGCACTAGGAGGAGTCCCAAATGGTAACGGGGTGCACAAAGGTACCAAAGTGACACATGAAGAGACTGGCAGAGGGGTCAATGTTGATTAAATAAAGGAAACCTGCTAATGAAGTGAAAGGCAGAAGGAAGGAGATGAAACTTCCCACAAGTGAGTGATAAGGAGGAGCAGATACACCCAGCTCTTCAAGAGCTGTCTAATGGCAAGAGACAGATAAATGARTAAAAGGAAATCCTCACGATTCCATAGGCAAAACTGGAAGGAAGGCTCAAAAGCCAGCAGCTCTCGTGGCGGAGAGGCCCAGGGAGGCCGTGCCCGCGTCACGGGGCAGCAGGAGGCAGGGGCACTGATGAGAGGAATCCTGTGTGTGTGGCAGGGTTCTGGAAGCAGGAGCAGGATGAAGCACATGCAAAGCCACACAAGTGCCTGGCACGCTGTCCTGCCACTGCCAACCCGCAATCTGTTGTCACCTTAAGCAAAGTCATGGATTTTGGATCCTCTGTCATTCAGACGTGTCTTAGTTGCATCAAGTTTAGACATAACATCCCGCTTTGCTTGGCGCAACTCTTGGCACAACCCAAAGCCCTAAATTATCACTGTCTTTGCAACCTCCTCACAGGGAGGAGGAAGCCAAGGAACTGCTGTGCAAACAGATGCCAGGGAAAGCCTGACATGGAGAGCAGGGCCCRGCAGGCAGAGAGGGGGGGCTCCCTTTGAGACCCCTGCCCAGCAGCCCCCCAAGAGCTGGGGCAACGTGYGCTCTTCTCAGGCATGCTGGAACCCCCTGAGAGTTTTCTAAATGCGTGTGGAAGAACCATGAGCCCTGAATCTGAGGACAGAGCCCTGGACCCACAACCTGAGAACAGAGCCCTGGCCCAGGCTGCCCAGGGAGGCTGTGGAGTCTCCTTCTCTGGAGATCTTCCAAACCCGCTTGGACGCAGCCCTGTGCCCCGTGCTCTAGGTGTCCCTGCTGGTTGGACTAGATGAGCTCTAGAGGACTCTTCCAATCTCAACCATTCCATGATTCTGCGAGGATCTCAGTCTCTGACGTGGGTAGAAAAGGGCTAAGTGCTGCTTTCCACAAGGTGACCATGTTTTTCACAGAATCACAGAATATTCAAGGTTGGAAGGGACCTCTAGAGATCATCTAGTCCAACCTTCCTGCTCAGGCAGGGACACCTAGAGCATGTGGCACAGGGTGGCATCCAGGTGGGTTTTGAAGACCTCCAGAGAAGGAGACTCCACAACCTCCCTGGGCAGCCTGTTCCACTGCTCTGTCACCCTCACAGTAAAGAAGTTCTTCCTCACCTGGAGACGGAACTTCTTGTGCTCCAGCTTATGGCCATTACCCCTCGTCCTATTGCTGGCCACCAGTGAAAACAGCCTGTCCTCTTCCTCAGGGGACATTCTCCCTTCCTGAACTTATACACATTAATCAGATCCCCTCTCAGCCTTCTCTTCTCCAGAGAAAACAGGCSCAGCTGCCTCAGCCTCTCAAGATGGCTTTCATGGCTYTTCACTTCCACCCAAGGGCAAAGGCCTTCAATTAGTGCTGTTTTCTGGCATAAAACTGGCCCCAGGGGCAGGGAGCCTCTCTGTGCTCCCTTCAAGGGCCCTGCTGCCCATGGGAACTGGCTCCAGAGAAGAAAATGACGCCAGGGCTGATGCTTTAATGGCATCAAAGCATCAACTGGGCACTGCTAATGTGATGCACATAACTATCCATTCAAACAGCAGCAGGCCCTGAAAACGAGCCTGTGGTTTATTTTTAACTCCTGTGTCAGAGCCCTTTGCCTTTTAAAGAGTGGCCCGGAGCTGCCTGGGGCCCTTATCTGCTTGGTGCCGTGTTACAGTAYGTCAGACAGTACTGTAGGACGGTTAAGCACCATCCTAGAGCAGGCAAGAAAGACCCTTGCTGCATCCAACATAATAGAACACCCAGTATAACAGAGAGTTGAGCTGAAATTCTGTARAAGTATGAAAATAAGAAAGTTTTTTCATTTCCTCAATATAATATCGGCAGGTGAGGAGACCCCACGCAGGAGCCTGGTGAAATTGTTCATCTGCTCATTCAAACGAGCACACGAACTGCAGTGAAAAGACGCAGCACTGGGGAAGAAAAGAACCTGTTGCTCATATTAATCCCTCATCCCCCATTCAGCTTCCTACATTAGTATCCTCTTTCCTTTCTGCAGCCAACAATGCTCCCTAGTTCCTTATTTAATCCTTTACAACACTCTAAGTCACGCCAGACTTAAAAGCAGCACTTCTCAGCAACCAGGTCAATTCTTTAATTTCTATTATAAATAGAAGAGCCCTGAAATGGATCCGTAAACAGTGACACGGGACACCGGAACCGTCCCCCGCCATGCCTGAATTTTGGCTGGCCGCTCTTCCCAAGTCCTCAGAGCCTGGGCAGACGGGATCGGGATCCCCCCGAGCCACAGAGCACCCCAGGAAGGCCCATGGCACACAGGGGTCTTCGCATTTCTCTTTTAAACCCTGTTATGTAGTAAATGAGTATTAATAAGTTGGCCAGCGTCAACTGAGAAGTGTTAAAACCCTATTGTCTATTTTTGCAAACCGTATAAGCTTGTGCTAACTATAGTTGCTGGTCATTTGGCATAAGAACAGTTATGTTTCTGTAAAATACCAATTAGTGGTTTGTAGCTACCACACTGAAAGCTACCACGTTGCACAGTTSTGCAGAAAGGTGCAAATCAGCAAACCAGCAGCCTCAGGTGCACAGGCACTGCAGAAAAGCTTGAATAACTTCAAGATGAAAGTGTTTCAAGTATCTGGTCACTCCTATCATGGGTTTTCCGAAATAYTAGTGTTTTGGAAAAGGCCTAGGTGGGATTTTGCCCTCTGGAGCCAACACTGYAAAGTGGGATCCTCCTTCAGGAGGATTCTTTGACTCGGCAAGACGGGTGTTGTTTGTGCAGAGCCGTGCTGTGTGCCGGGTGGAACAGGCAGAACCCGGGTCACGGGCAGCCCCGGTCCCTTTGCAGGTGACAYGGGCGCCAGGAAGAGCGTGGCCTTACCTTGTTGTAGTAGTGCACCTGGACCGAGTGCCACTGCCCGTCGCTGACGCCCCCCGCCACCACCGGCGCCACCGTCGTGGTCGTCTCCCCTGCGAGGGCGGCAAGAAGAGACGCGGGTCAGCGCGGCAGAGCTGGTCCCCCCGCGCAAACCCAGACTTCCCAGAATGTGGAATTTCGTCCYGTCGCTATCCTCAATTTCACTGCCTTGCTTCGGAGCACAGATACAGAAACGGCTTGTGACACCTCCCTGTGAATTCTGTTATTTCCTCTCGTGCTGTTGCAGAGCTGCGGTAGCAGATGTGCCTGGTTACTGCTGGAGAGCTCAGCTGAGGAAAACCTAGGCAGGAATTTTGCTGCTTCCCTGCCCTTCCTTGCTCACTGAGGGCCTTTTTGGCCCGGAAGAGTGTTATATGGGGATATTGGGATAGGGAAAGGAAGCCTACTCTAGGCAACAGGGAGAAGCTGCAACGGGTCAGTACTCCTGGTTAGGCCGCTACAGGTACAGAGCACACAGATGGTAACATTTCCCTGAGCAGATTTTTACCTGTGATCAAAAAACGATATTGGCAGCCTTTCAGTACTTCAGTTTTAAAGAGGGTAACTTCTTTTTTACTCTATTTTTAAAGTGGAAGCATTTAAATTAACCTGAGTCAGCTGATCGAGCTTAGCACTAGGCATATCTGTGCTGATATAAGAGCAAAATATATATTTGGTCAGCAGTACATAACGACCTCAAACAGAGAATACATTGTGGCTTTTGTCTCTTTTTCCCTCTCCTTCTCTTTTTTGTTTAATTCTGGGCAAAATTTCCTGTTACTGAGGGAGAAGGGGAGAAATGGAAAATTCTGCATAATAAACCACAGGAAAAATAGCTCCCTCCCATAAGCTAACAAAGTTCACATTATTGTTGAGCTTAAAATGGATTTTCTCCTTTTTATTTGCAACCATTACTCTGCCCTGAGTCCTTCACTATCCTTTAACTTCTACTCTGTATCATTTTGTTATTTAAATACTGCTAATTTTAGTGTAGTGAACAGTCAACATCTTAATTTGAAAAGGGCTTCATTTGCTGATATAAAAAATGTGGAAAATTTTATTTTTAAATTCATCTAGGAAACTTCTGCATAAATAAGATCAKGGTCTCCAATCATTTTGCTTTGCTTACTCCAAAATAAATGTTGTGACAGGTAAAATAATCAGATCAAACGTCCAAAGCTTCCACTGCTCCTTRCATGCTCCTTAAAGCCATAAAACATAATCCATTCTTCTTCTAAATAAAATAGCATTTATAACATGCAGGACCAGACCTGCTCTCAGGCGCAGTAGTGCAAATCTGAATTTGGTTTCATGTATTTTAAAGGAGTTTCTCCACATTTAAATGCACATTAGTGCAACTGGAATTTATTCCCATTCATCCTCTGGGTGCCTTCCTAGCAATTTGATTCAAGTTTAGACAGGTGGAGGAAAAATACAGAATACAGTAAATTTCTCCAGCRGTGGCATGTTATTGCATTGCACTGTTCTATTTAAAAGCCTGCCTTAAAGTCCAACGTGGGCATCATATAAGTAATAAAGAAGTGAAACTGGAGTATCTTTAAGGGCCTGGCTATGTCCTTCAGCACATGGGGGAAATCCGTGGGGTCACTTTGGATTCATAGCAGGGTCTATGGGGGTCTATCAATGGATGGTGGTGAGTGTGCAGCACGGGCCCCAGCTGGAGCCCAGCACGGGCTCCAGCTCTGCTCTTATATGGTTTGTAATGCCTAACTTCCAAAAACTAAAAAATCATCTGGAGATGCTCATGGTCTGTATGTCCACCTTGGAACTGGAAGACAGGGAATAGGGATGTGTTTCTCCTGGGTTATGGGCTCACCCAGCCTACATGAAAGCCTGGCAGTGAGGGCTACTGCTGAGGGTCTTGGGTGCCTCGGGCATCTCTCTCGCTGTGGATATTATGGATCCGGAGCGTCGCCTTTGTCCTCACACACAGTGAAAACAAGAGCTGAGGCCCCCAAGCTCTGTCGCATCCAACAGCCATGTTGGTTCTCCTGATTTCTTGTGTTTTGCTGYTTCTCCCAGTGGGAGGTGCTTGAATCCACACCACAACTGCAGGGATGGTGCTGTTTATCAAAAATTAACAGAGTGGCAGGCAGCTTTCGTTTGCTTTGGCTCATGTATGATTTTTGGATAACGTTTATGGACCTAGTTTTCCTGATGGTGTAGTGTAAAACAGAACAAATACACAAAATGAATCACAGCATGATTAAAGGAAGGCCCTTTAAAGCAAATATTGGCTACGAGGCCGACTTTCAGMCCAGAGCCAATCTTTTAGAGAAGTCATAAACTCTGCCTTTCATAACCGATACGTTGACAAGCTCCTACCTATAACTGTCTGCTACCACCGCCAAGTGCTGCAGCCTGGAGTATTTTGCAACTCTGCCCCAGCTGCTAACTGTGCAGTGTCAATCAGTTACTTGGTTAACAAGGCAGCTACATAAAACCATTAGGTGCGTTTGCAAAGGCAGCAGGAAGCAGCCGGGCCGCCTCACCCGCGGAGAACGTGAGCTGGATCTGCTCCTCGATGATCTCCAGCGCCAGGAAGTCGTGCTTCTCGTTGAAGCGCCCGTTGTAGAGCAGCAGCGCRTTCCTCTCCCGCGTGGCGAACCTAGGGCAGGCACAGGAGCAGTCATTCCATGCCCAAGGGCTTACGGGCTCACAGCTGAGGCCCCTTGAGCAGAGATGGTACTACCAGAAAAGCGAGCCTTGCAGCTTTCCTTAAACAGCAAATTATAAAATAAAGTAGCAGCATAAACACATTATCTCACAATCTATCGAGACAAGCAAGGCAGAAACGACAGGAACTGCTGTGCAGACTTGCAAAGCTTTGCTGTAGACACCARCTCTAGAAAAATATAAAATGCTGCACATCAAACACACACCAGAGTGAGTACCCGGGACTGCTCAAACAGGAGCAGCTCCTGCGCTCTGCAAACAGCCCAGAAGCCAGCAAGTGTTTCACATCAAAGGGGCARGACTTGCTGCCTGCCTGCTGTCTAAGTGCTGCATGCTACAGAGAGAGTCATAAACAGATTAGAAAGAACTGCTGGGGAGGGAAGGGGGAACGAGAGATAAGAGTGACTTTAATAATGTCGTGCAGATAATCGGGGTTCATCAATCAACAGTTAAGGCAGCTGGTGGGAGGAAAATAAACACTTCAGTGATTCCACTCATCAGCACTATATAGCGGGGATTTTTCTTTTTATTTTTCCTGTGCTTCTAATATGGGTCATCACACCTTTCCTGAAACAAAACAGGTAACCTCGTTTCTAGCAAAGCCTGTTTTTAATCTGCACGGAACTTCTTTGAAAACTTCTGCATGTTCTGAGTGTTTGAGAATTTTTAATTGAATCCTAACATCTTTGGGGATTTACATGTACTGCTCCTCTGCTTAGGAATGCAAAACTTTACACTTAAAAAGATTTTACATAAACATGCTTACAAATACTAATGTTATATAAAGARATGGAGGAGTAAAACCATGGGAATCTCACACTATGTGTGACTCACAACATATGCACATCTGATAATCAACCTTTGCTAGCAAATATTTTCTGGCATTGCTTTTTATGTAAATGCCAAATAGCAGTCCTTGATGTTTCTGTTACGCTGCCTGGGGTCTTGCTCACAGACGTGGCCTGACTCACAAGAACCATTTCTTACCTCATGGCAGGGAGTTTTACTTCAGCTGTGTTCAGCATTTGAGTCATTTGTAGACGAGAAATTAACTTAAAATCAGGCTGGATCTTGACGTTCAAGACACAAATCAAGCTACCYTACCATTCTGAATCATCACATACAGCAGAAGTCCTTCAGAATCATCAGCCTGAACCTGAGCTCCACGGAAATGAGAACTTCTCCACAGAAATGCTATTATTTATGAAGGAGAATCCCAAAAGATATCCACTATAGTCAATCAGAATGCTACATTATCATTTTGATTACTTCAAATTAGATTTTGAAATATATCTTTATTTCTAAGTATATTTAAACATAAAATTATATTTAAAGAAGTAAAAGTCAAATTAAATTAAGACAGTGCAGCTGACTTGTCAATATTAATAAAATACATACASTCTCTCATACACTTCATGTAGAGCAAAAAAAAAAGTTCCTATAAAGTATTTTGGAAAACTACATTTTCCTGTGGGCAATGACATCATCAAAACCTTTTTTTGATGAAATCTGTTCAGGATATATGTGACAGAAAGGAATGAGAACTATTTAAATAATCTACTTCAGTGGAGAGAAACATTCATTTTGAGCAACCATAAAATGTACATTAGTTCTGTTTGAAAATATTTTTCTGATACAGTTACGATCTTCTACTATGATTTTAATTAAAAGAAGGCAAAGTATTTTTTTCTCCCTTTTTACACCCGTTTCTCAGTGTTTGCTCAGTTTCATTCTTTGCCACTAGCCAAACGCATCTTTTTTATCATATATTTAGTCCAGTACCATTGCTTTTGGACTTGCCTGGTTATCAGCAGTGGGAGAAGGAAGTTGTGGGGTTTTTTAATAGAAGGGGCTTTTTTAAACTCAGGACATAGAAAATTAAAGGCAGGCTTTCTTCCAGGATGGAAATGTTTAATAAGAAATTAAAAAACATCTCCAGTGACAATGTCATTTGGAGTGAAAATTGAAGCAATTGTTGGAAGTTGGGAAAACAGGAAAATGTATAAAATTGSGAGCAGAAATCAGCATCCTAAATAATAAGAGTATAGTGCAGCACAAGCAGCAAAAGTGTTGAGCAGCAATGCATGGTACAAAAAAATCTATATGCCCCAGCCCATTTTGGTACTGAAAATGGTCAAGAGTCTGCAAAACTCATAATGGAAGTTTCATTTTAGGAATGGGATTGGACTGTACAAACATCCTAGGCTTTGTCATGCAAGGAGAACTTCAGGCAAACAAGCCTGGGATTTTAGGAATGTTCCTGAATCACAAAATCTGTAATGGCAAATCCTTTGTGGAATCAAACTGTTAGTTCTTGCTCACCCTCACATCATGTTTTCTACCTGTGTTGAAAGATAAGAAAAGCCAAGAAACGAAACCATAAATTTCAGGTACAAAAAACTAAATATATCATTATCCCACATATTTTGGGACGAATCCTATGATGACCTACACTTTTATAATCACACTGACGAATGCAATAAACAGGCCATCTAGGCTACAAAGACTGTGAAGAAATCATAGCATAAGCACCCCAGTACAGTATTTTGCTATTTCTCAGGAATGCCTACAAGGAGAATTTGAGTCACTTTAACTTGAAGCACCCTACACATCRAAGATCTCTTTCCCGAAAGCCTGAAAAATGACACCACGTGGCTGCTGGGACACTCCAAGGGCAGTATAGGTAATTTATGCTGGCAGCTGGCCCAGAACACTCCTTTGTTTGCACTTACTGTAGATCTGACAAGTCCAACAGAACCTTTCGCTTCTCAGCTTTTCCATGTATTTAGATCTCATGCTGTAAAACAGTTTTTGCAGGCAAAGGGTTCCCTACCTTGGCTCACTTGCAAACTGTATCTGCATTTTCTGATTTAACCAAAATTTCMAGAAACTATAAAAATTTGACCGTAGGATTCAGAAAGAATAAAATGGGAAGAAGCTGCCTGGCCCCTGAGAGATGTAAAACACCAAGCAGCTGTTGAGTAGCTAAGTAGGCAGGGTGGCTGGTTTTGTCATTCCTGCCTTGCTCCAGAAGGACAAACAAATAYGTCCTTTGTGGCTACTGTACTTTTACCTATCCATAAATCCTAAGAAGTTCGTCCTTTTTGTCCTTTTGAGTCAGGACTGATACGTTTTGTGCCATTTACTCATTCATCTGTGAGGAAGACCCAAAGATCAATCTTGACCAACTAAATCAAGGACAAGCTGTCGATCTGCATCTTCTCTGGAGAAAGTCGTTGTGCACTTGTGCAGCGCTTGTTCTGCTGCAGATGAGCGCTGCCTTAAGCCAGCCAACAGAAGAAGTCTTCTCCAGAGAAGAGGTTTTCACTGTGGGGCCCATGAAAYGTGGCTGTCCCCTTTGCAGCACTGCTGCCCACCCTGACCTCCCTGAGAGCCCTCAAGTGCCCGCATGTGGAAAGCAAGAGCGCAGGTGGGAGGGTCTGCTTGGGCAGAAATACATGACAAAAAGCTTTACATACTTGAGACGTGGACAAACCCATCTGGGTCAGCCCATCTCATCACCCCTCAAGCCTGTCCATACAACTGTGGGGACCTGGCCAGCGGTTGTGGCCTGACACTGCTTTGGGGCCTGGGAAGGACTGGATGGGAAACCACTGCCCAGCACAAGAAGTGCTGCCATGAAGCTCGTGTGGTCCCCAACTTACCCTCCTGGCATCTCCCGGTCCTGTCCCCATGCTGCACGGCCCCGGTGAGAGCCATGCTGGAGCAGACAGGGCCTAAGGACACTGCTGGCCCGGCCTTGCTAGCCCCTCTCCCTCAAGGGGAACGGACTCCTCTGTGGGACTGAAGGGACTCCTCTGTGAACCCCTATGGGATYTGGCAAGAAAGGACTCTGTGCATCTGGATACTAATCTTTATGGTAGAGGAGATGAAGAATCGGCTTSTTAAAAAAGTGCTTTCTTTAGTAAAAGAAGATTTTAGTAAAAGTTTCTAGGAAAAGAAGCATGGTCAACACTTCAGTGGCCTCAGCAGCAGGCAGAAGTTAAACACACGGCCCTTCCCCACTCCCACAGGAGTCAATGTCAAGAAGAACCCGCGTGGGAGCTGCCTCCACGCAGGTATTGGTGGCATGCAATATTTAATAAATACACTTCGAACTCAAATGGAGGTGCAGATCTCAGCTCGAATCCTCCCACCTGGGGATAAACGAGGAGATTGAGGGACTCACATGAGGGAGACTGTGAAGTGGAAGCGCTGCCGCAGCCCCTTGAAGGTGATGAAGGACTGCGGGGGGAAGCTCCTGGTGGTCATCTCGCAGTAGGGCCGCTCGTATTCGCCGGGAGGGCACTCGCACTTGAAGCCCCCTATGAGCAGGTTCACGCAGGTGCCCCCGTTCTTGCACACGCCGGGCGCGCAGCGGCCGGAGCGAGCGTTCACTTCGCAGTGCTCTCCTGGAAGGGGGAAGCAGACACCAGGGAAACTGTGACTATTTCAATAGTGAAATATTGAGCCCCAAGCAGCCGGTTGCCAGAGATGGCGCGGGCTCGATACCATTGCTGCCCAAAGCTAAGCTGTTCTCAACTTCCTCCCCAATTCCTTCTGTAATCAAGGGATGGATCTGTAACAGGAGGGGAATAAGGATGCTGCAATGTCTTTCAAGTCTCAGTTCTGAATGTGGCTTACAATATTGTTTGCTGTGTGATCCTCCTTCAAATATTTGACAGTGTTGGCTCCAGGTTTTGGATTCCTTGGCTGCTCTCAGAACTGATGAAAAATATCAAGCTGCACAGATCTGTATGGGAGCAGGTAACACCACCAGTAAAGAACTTGTGCGCTCCCTGTCAACCAAAATATGTGTGAACTGTTCCTGTATTTCATTATGGGCTTGAAACTGGGTAAACAGTTAAGTGTTTGCACTTCCCCTCAAGCAGAATTTGGCTTTACTGCCCATGCCACAAGGCTTCAATTGCACCAGTATGAATGCTGAGCAGAACACAGATAACACTGCATATATATATATATATATTTATAATATGTATATTATTTCATCTTTTCTTCTGCAACTTTCAGGTGACAGCCATTTAGTGGATCTCTCAGAGATGTGCATCGAAACTTCACTCAATGATTTTGAGCATTGCTTATTGAAGTTGTTTTTCTCTACGTGCTTCATCTTTATTCTATTCAGAAATCTGTATTAAAGTGCATTAAACACAAGTTCTGAAAAATTAGGTACATTTGCCATAACACTTCCTGTGCTTGCCCAGAATTTCATAGTGGATCATAATTTTTAAAAATTATTTGTGATTTTGTGGTTTGTGCAGAGGACATCCACTTAAAAAAAACAGTYTGCTGTGGCCAGGACAAAAGCAATTCCTGACTTAATAAGTACCCAGAAAGCGAGCACTCTGTGTGAGCTAATTATTTAATATTTATGGTTTGGAAAGTGTCTTTCTAAGGTAATTGCAATGGCAATTCTTTATTGAATGTTCACATCCTGCATAACAAACTGCTCACAGAAATGGAAGGTGATTTATATGGCTGAATTTTACCCTGTGACGACGGCTCACAACCAAGCACAGAGCAAAACTGCTCAGCACAACCAGGTGAAGGAGCACGTTCCCGACACCTAGGATTTGCATGATTGCTTGCTACAAAATTATGTAATTGCATTCATTCAAACACAGGCAAAATCGTGCAAATGCATTCCTAAAGGGAAGTAAAAGCAGCAGGAACTATGGCTGCTAACTCACAGACGAAGGCAAATGGGAAGAGGAAGCTCCGCTCCACTCCGCCAGGCGCCCCCACAGCCCGGCTCCCATGGATTCCCACTCCGGAGCCGGGACGGGATGGCCCAGCCACACGGGAAGCCCGTTGCTCATTCCTGGACTTTGCAAAGCTAGGGAATGCCCCAGCAAGTCCCAAATGACAAAGTAATAAACCATACAGCTGAAAACCTGACTTCAAACCCATGTTTAGAGCATTTTCGATTCAGGACTGATGTCCTTAGATTCTCTTTTTATCATATGAAGAAAAAAAATGCTTCCAAAGCCACTTGTTAAGTACCTTCTGTTTCCCTTTATCGACTGCATCAGGTTAGGCAAGAGTATGTAAATACACCCTCCTTAATACTTTGGAGAGGAATTAAAATGCTMTGCAATGGGCTGCTTTTGCTAGAAATTTTGTAAATCACCAAGACAAAAAAAAATTCTCAGTGTATTTTGTATGTCAAGGAAAAGCCCCCCMCACACACCAAATGCTTTAGAGAATTGATGGTCCACTGCATAAACAGAATCAATCCCCCTCAACTCAATAATTGCACAAATCCTCTCAAAACTCTCACAAAAATGCAAAACCACAGTTTCTACATGAAAGACTAAACACAGGTTTGTCCCTTTGAAAACAGTAGTGCAATACTCTGTGAAATACATCTCCAACTCAGAGTGGAATGTAATCTTCCAGGCTTTCTGAGAACAGAATGATATATTTGGCAAAAGCAAATAAAGCACAGACCTGAATACACAGAGAAAACAAGGCAAGACCCAAGCTAAAAGGAGAAATTCTTGTCATTCTAACATGCTGTGGAAATACCATGGCAATGCAGAAACATACTATAAATACCTATGCTTGAAGTCATTGATGGTTTTGTATTAATTATGTGATAATAAGGTAAGAATTTATAGAACATTTGTTTAGAGGTATAAAASTACTTAAGAGAAAATTAACTGAAAGTTAATTAAAAGTATTGAAGGTATATTGAAAGTACACTGAATTATGTTTATTGCTGCTTTTCGTTACGGCAAGTTAAAAAATAAAAGTAGTTTTAAAAGCTGCTAATTCAATCCTAAATATGAGCCTTTGTCCTATATTCATTCAACTGTAGCATAACTAATGTCCCAGTTACTAAAATTATTCTGAATTCTCATTACTCATGCAAATGAGAACTGAATTTGAAGCAAATCCTTTGATGTGGAATTTTCATATTTTATGTATATTGACCAAAATACATTAAAGTATCTTTTCTGAAATCCCTGCAGGAACTGCAAGTTGTTGTTACATTTCAAGGCACAAAGGTCCATGAAGAAACATGATAAATCCTTATCTGACGTTTTTCCAAAAGGGAAAACCGTACCTGGGATTACTTAGAAACACCATGTCTGGTGTTATTAGGTGGCCACCTGAACAAATATTCCTATTTGTGCTCCTCCTCCGCGCTAGCAAGGCCCTGAGCCTTCGTGTGGCTCTTCAGCTTGTCATTCCCAAGGGGGGCCACCTCATCCTGGACACACGGTGCATCCCACAGCACTGACCCACAGAGTTGGCAGTCACAGCCCCCCAAGCACTGCCAGAAGCTGAATTTGGGCCTGCACGTCCTAGCTGTGGCAAGGGGGGCTGGCTGTGGGCTGCCAGGCTCCAGCTCAACTCGGAAGCCCCTCAGGGAAGAGCTGCTTTGGGATCCGGAAAGGAAGAGCATCGCCAACAGTCGCGTGTGCGGCTGTCTCAGGAGGAAAAAGAAAGGGATTGTGTGCCCACTTGCAGCTGAAGGTCAGGGGGCTGAGACTGGATGTGCCCCAGTCCCTGAGGAAAAAATAGCGTGAGCCTGAGGGCAGGCTGGCAAGTTGCTCTGGGTCTGAAGGGCAGTCGGTGACCGGATCACTGCAGTGCGGCCGCCGGGACCCCTCACGCGCCTCTCTGCCCAAGGCAGCGCTTGCTCTTTGAACATAATTCCATCTTTCACACTGGCTGGTATTTTAGGAATCACTCAAAACACTTCCTTGATGCCACAACTCTGTGAAATTCAAGCGGGAAATGTAAAGCTTAGTCCCTCCGTCTGCTGAATCGAAAGCACGCGCTGTCAGATAACACCGCGCTGCGTCTGCCTGTTATCTGCCATGCAGATTCTTGGGCTGTGAAAAGCTCCTGGACCGAGCCACTAAATGGTTTACTCTTACAGGATGGGAGCTAATCTTATATTCCTGCAATTAATATTGATGACTTCTACAACTGTGAAAGCCTGTAGCATCTATACAGCCCTTTACACAGTGCCTCTTGGTTTTAAGGCCCTTGAGATCACCCTGTGATACTCTAAYAAGGATTTCATGAAAGGCAGGATATCGGGCATAACATCACAAGAATAGGCAAAGAAAAAATCATCTAGAAAATGGTTTAATTTGTTTTTTTCCCTGATGCATTCCAAACAAAGTAGTGAAAGAGTTTAAACAAAGAAGGAATGATGATAAAAGTAATAAGAAATATGAAGAAGTTATTTTAAATGTAARCAAATAATCTCCTAATTGCAAACATGTTGTGAGCTGAACATCATCATCTGAGGATCAAACAGGACACACACGCACATCAACACGATGGTCACCGCACAGGTATTGCCATGTCTCGCCTGGTGAGCTGCCTGACCTTACCGTGAGAGACCATGTATAATGTTGGAAAGCTTCCTGAAAACAACACGGCTGTGAAAAGAGTACAGAATTACTCTACATTTCAGGTTTTTTTTTGTAATATTTCTATTCAYGGATTAGTCTTCAAAATCATGTACTGTTCTCTGATTATTTTCACTTGAAATATCACATTAAATATACATTAACATGAAGCAGCAGATTTGCAATGACGCACTTGTTTCATTTCCTTCACCTTCTCTGGACACATACTAATTTTTCACTCAGTATCTGTAATTGTTTAATTTGAAATGATGCTTCTCTCCTTTCCCCCCTCCTGCCATTTGCTCTAGATACATATTAATCCTGTTCTCCATGTCTGTAGCTACTTCACCAGCATGGAAACTTTGCGAAGCTGATTTAAAGCAGCCAGCCGAAAACGAGGGACTTCAAAGCAGAAACAACAAGAAATAGGGCAACTAAATTCTTGCAGAATCCCCACTGCTCTAATGATGAACCAATTATCATTAAAAATGTGTTAGATATGTTACACATGATAAGAAAATCACTCCTCCTCTTCCTCTGGTAACTGGAATGCTCATGGCTTGGAATGATGATTCGTGCTGAGGTGATCAATACAGTGAGCAATTTTGGGGTTGTTAAAATTACCATTTTAAAAATGATGGGGGATTTTTTTTAAAAAAAAAAGAGGGGAAAAAAATTCCTCCTGGTAAATCCTGTGTAAATCCTGTGTCCTGTTAAATATCTGTCTTTAAAAYGTCCCGCTGTCGCGTCAAGGCCAGGCAGCCCACGATGCCTGTGTGGGCTGGCAGACTCCCAGCGCCACAGGCGCCCTCGGAGGAGAGATAACAGGGCGGCAGAGCTGCCCGAGCCCCATCTGCGGCTTCCTGGGCCCCAAGTGCTAAAAACAGATGATGATGCCGTTAAGGCTCCACAGGCCCCATGTCAAACACTGACAGCCCGTGTCCCGTTCGCTCCGTGCGGCCCTCGTCCTGTCACTGTCCGCTCAGGGCCTGCGGCGGGCTCTAGCAGGAGAGCATCAC